ATAAATATATATATATATATATATATATATATAAAATTAATTTTTGTTGAATTTCCTGCAAAAATACGCGTATTATTATATATACTGATATACAGTTATGATGAAATAAAAATCCCCATACCGCTATATGACTGTATAGTTGTGTATCATGCAAAACCTCAGGGAACACAAAAAAAACAACAACAACAAAAAAACCCTGTGGAAAAATATTTGCAGGCACTTATTATCTCTCTTTCTCTCCTACAGGGTCGTGTGATAAGAGGTGCTTACCGGTTTCAGGCAGTCATTACAACATTTGAGATGATATTGGGAGGCTGTCCAGAACTTAACGCAATAGACTGGCGCTGTGTCATCATTGATGAAGCCCATCGGCTCAAAAATAAGAACTGCAAGCTTCTGGAGGGCTTCAAACTTATGAGCCTGGTATAAATTAGACATTATTATGCTTATTTTTAAAACTTAAAAACAGATGCCTTTTTTCCCCTATGTTTTTAACTTGATATCTGTTGACCTCTTAGGAACATAAGGTTTTGTTGACGGGCACTCCACTACAAAACACAGTAGAAGAACTCTTTAGTCTGCTGCACTTCCTGGAGCCGACCCGCTTCCCTTCTGAAAGCACCTTCATGCAGGAATTCGGAGACCTCAAGACTGAGGAGCAGGTGCTGTATTTGTATAAATATTATATATTGCTGTGTTTGAATTAATATAGATGTTCTGTATATTTTACTCTTCTCCATTTGTAAATGCATGTGCATGTAGGTCCAGAAACTCCAGGCCATCCTAAAACCAATGATGCTGCGGCGTCTTAAGGAAGACGTGGAGAAGAAGTTGGCCCCTAAAGAGGAGACCATCATTGAAGTGGAGCTCACCAACATCCAGAAGAAATACTACCGCGCCATACTGGAGAAGAACTTCTCATTCCTGGCTAAAGGAGCTGGCCAAGCCAACGTCCCAAACTTGCTCAACACCATGATGGAACTGCGGAAATGCTGCAACCATCCCTACCTCATCAAAGGTACAACTACACAAACCCCAACCGCTGTCAAAACCAACAAGCCCACATTAGGCAAAGTCCTAAGAAGTCTGTCGCTCTCTCTTCACTTCTAGGGGCCGAGGAGAAGATCTTGGAAGACTTCAAGGAGGTGTATAGCCCCACAGCCGTAGATTTCCACCTGCAGGCTATGATTCAGTCAGCAGGTAAACTCGTTCTAATTGACAAGCTGCTCCCCAAGATGAAGGCCGGTGGACACAAAGTGCTCATCTTTTCTCAAATGGTGCGCTGCCTGGACATCCTGGAAGACTACCTCATCCAGAGAAGGTGAGAATCGAAAACAGAGAGTGTACACCATCCTACAGCACACAAAATGTATTGTAGTTGTAAGTGGAGGTGTATTTCATTGCTGTAAATGGCTCTCGTCGTGTCCCTGCCGAGTTCATGGGGTTTAACTGCAAACTGTGACGTCCCGCTGTACTCTATTTGTTTTAGATACATTACAGTGTATATATGCACTTTTAACAAGCAATCGAATCTGCTTTTTTAGCAGGAGTTCAATGCCACATTTTGCTTACCCTGGTTTGAGTTGTGTTCACATGTTCCTTATCTCTCTGGCCCTTTATACAGAGCTCTCTGCTGTTGAACCCCTTTGCATCAGCAATATCACATGACCGTTACCGTTTTATGCAGTGTCTAGGATTAGTTTATTTCCTTCATTCCTGCCTCGTTCATATTTCTCTTGCCTCAGCTTGTCTGTGACAGTCTAGCAGTGTATACAGTGCACTGTTAACAAACTAAGTGATGTGTATGTTGGCTGATGCAGCTAGGGTGCTGCAGGACACAGACACTCCAGGGATCTCATATCATGCACACAGTCCCAGAGGCACAGCTCTGCCCAAAGTGGGTCAGAGAAAGCAGGAAGTAACATGGAAAAATGTGAGATGGTTACTGGGACAAAAAAAAGAGAGAAAGAGATAAAGGACATGAATGGAATAAATGAAAGAAAGAATGAGTGAGTGAAAAGGTGATGGAAAAGAGTTTTAGGAGTAACCTAGGGATGTACTAATGCTACGTTGCTTTTGGGTAATCAACATTGTGCCACAGATGCTGATTCAGCTTTACTTGTATTGAACCCAGAATATTCCTTTAACACATTTAGTTCATTAAGTAATGACAATAAAACAATGTATTGTTGTGTCAATTTGTATTAATGAAACTTGTAATATATAGGATTATGTAAATACTTTTTGATGGTAGTATATATGTACTGCCGTTCAAAAATTTGGAGTCAGTAAGATTTTTTTTGTTTTTTTTTGAAAGAAAGAAAGAAATTAATACTTCAGCAAGAATGCATTAAATTGATCCAAAGTAACATGTGTGGTAATGATTTCTGTTTCAAATAAGTGCTGCTCATTTGAACCTTCTATTAATCAAAGAATCCTGAAAAAAGGTGTATCACGGTTTGCATAAATATATTAAGCAGCATAAATTTTTTTTTTAAAACATTGATAATAAAAAGAAATGTTTCTTGAGCAACAAATCTTATATTAGAATGATTTCTGAAGGATCATATGACACCGAGGACTGAAGTAATGGCTACTGAAAATTCAGCTTTACCATCACAGAAATAAATTGAAATAAATAAAAATATATTAAAATATAAAACAGTTATTTTAAATGGTAATGATTGCTGTGTGGAATACTTTGTGGAAGTGCTCGATAAAGTACATCGATCTGTAATTTCTAAGTCAAACTGACCTTTTTCAGATACCTCTATGAGCGGATAGATGGCCGTGTGCGTGGGAACCTCCGTCAAGCAGCTATAGACCGTTTCAGTAAACCAGACTCCGATCGATTCGTCTTCCTGCTGTGTACTCGAGCAGGTGGGCTCGGTATTAACCTCACAGCTGCCGACACCTGTATCATCTTTGACTCTGACTGGAACCCTCAGAATGACCTGCAGGTACATACACACACACACACACACTTGATAGTAAAATTGCAGACGTTCTTGTTGGCTCATATTCATTTTTTCATCTTGTTATATCCACAGGCCCAGGCTCGCTGCCACAGGATTGGTCAGAATAAAGCAGTTAAAGTATATCGACTAATCACGCGTAACTCATACGAGCGAGAGATGTTCGATAGAGCCAGTCTGAAGCTGGGATTGGATAAAGCGGTGCTTCAAAGCATGAGTGGACGAGACAACAGTCTAGGAGGAGGAGGGGTAAGTTGTTAAATGTCACCCATGTACCATGATTTTTTTTTCTCCAGCCCTCATTACATTGTTGTTCTCTACATAGAGATTTGCATAATTGGTGGTGTAGACATATTTTTTTTTGTACTGATGTAATATGTATTGTCTGGTTTCATTCACTCTCTCTCTCTCTCTCCATCTTTTATAGCAGATGCAGCAGCAGCTCTCTAAGAAGGAGATTGAGGACCTTCTGCGGCGTGGAGCTTATGGTGCCATCATGGACGAGGAAGATGAGGGGGCTAAATTTTGTGAAGAGGACATTGACCAAATCCTGCAACGCAGAACCAAGACCATCACTATTGAATCTGAGGGTCGGGGCTCCACCTTTGCCAAGGTCAGCTTTTTTTTCCCATCTTTTATTTCTTAGATTGATTGAAGTATTGATCATAATGTTTTCTTACATTTTCTCTTATAAAAGCAATTTTCAGATGGCATTCTTTTTAAGGCTGCAAATATATCAAAATAAAATCAAACAACGCAGGAGAAGCTTAATGGGCTCCCTGTGGATTTTGCCAAAATAAAATCTTGAAAATTACAAAATTAAGACATAAATAAAATATTAGTATTGTAATTGCTCAGTCATTCTATGAAATTTTTTTTTTTTTTTTTAATGAAATACTATGTTTTATAGTACAAAAGCATTATTACAATAGTAATAATATATCTAATTAAAATGGAATAAAAAAGAAGAAGCTTTAAGGGCTCCCTGTAGTTTGTAGTTGTAATTTTGTAGTAAAGCTTTGTGGTTTAATGTTTGAAAATTAAGAAATTAAGATGTAATATTAGTATTATAATTTTAAAGTTGTTGTATTTTTTTAACTGTTCGCTTTATGGTTACTGAAAAAGGTTTGAGTTGGCTCTTGTAAAGAGTATACCCAAGTGTTTACACCCACATCTTTCAAAGTTTTCAAAGTAAAAAGTCGTTTGTCAGCCGTTTGTCAGGTGCACTCCACTGCAAAAAACACCCCAATCATTCTAGAATTATGTATTTTTTCCAGAAATATATCTGTTGAAGTCACTCCGAAATTATTTTTTAATATCACAACAATTATCAGAGAGAAATAAAATACTGGAATGTCATTTTTTTTCTCCATTATTTTGCAGCCTTAATTCTTGTATGTATTTGTGCAGACATTAACATACTGTTCTCATTTGTTTTTGCTGTGTTCACAGGCCAGTTTTGTAGCTTCAGGGAACAGAACAGACATCTCTCTGGATGACCCCAACTTCTGGGACAAATGGGCCAAGAAAGCAGAGATTGACATGGATACAGTCAATGGCAGAGTAAGTTACACAAAAACTCTGCCATATCAAAGTTCAACAGTAGAGCAGAAAAGCCCACACCCTCCTGGCTGACTCTCCAGTGCCAGGATTACTTACAGAACTACAGTTTCTTCGTAGACATCTGTTAAAAAAAAAAAACCCATCAAGTTACAGAAAGCTTCCTTCGACTCTGATGGGAAAACACCCAGAAATTAGATTTTGAACAGAGAGGCATTGCTGTAAGAGATGACAGGATGCTGGTTAACATGATTGGTATTTAATGTAATGTACTCTGAAATAACTCAATCAGTGTTTTCTGTGGGCACCTCTGTATTTTAGTTGTAAGTGCTGCACAGAGAGCGCAGAGTGATTGAAAGCAAACATCAGTTTTAGTGAATGCGGTTAGCCTTATTTAAATGCATAGCACTGCTCTCAGTAAAGGTGGGTCAGTGGTTCTGTTTTTAACTGTTGTCTTTTGTTTTGGTTTTGCTACAGAACAGTCTGGTGATCGACACCCCTCGTGTCAGGAAACAGACCCGGCCGTTCAGTGCTACTAAGGACGAGCTGGCCGAGCTCTCTGAAGGGGAGAGTAGCGGAGATGACAAACCCAAACTCCGCCGGCCACATGACCGCCTAAACAGCTATGGCCGCACAGAGTGCTTCCGGGTAGAAAAAAATCTGTTGGTGTATGGGTGAGTGATGGCTAGTGGTCTACCGATTTGAGTTCTGTTATATGCCAGTACATTAACTATATATACACTACTGTTTAAAAGTTAGGAGCTGTTAAGACATTTGTTGTTGAAAGATGTCTCTTATGCTTACTGTGGCTACATTTATTTGGCCAAACGGTTGTGCTACTTAATACTTTTTTGTGGAAACCGTGATACATTTTTTCTTTGATAAATGGAAAGTTCAAAAGAACAGCATTTATTTGAAATAGTAACATTTTAAATGAATTTACTATCACTTTTGATCCGTTTAATGTGTTCTTGCTGAATGAAAGCTCATTGTGCTGCATACTGTACGTATAATACACTATATAAATAAACTTTATACAAAATATGCAAATATAAGAAGTAAGACTCTTCTCAGGCAGAGTTCTTGACACTGTAGATGAAATGATGGACCACTGAATGTGTTTCTGTGGTCATAGGTGGGGCCGCTGGAAGGATATCCTGGCTCACGGGCGCTTTAAGCGACAGCTGAGCGAGCGTGATGTGGAGTGTATATGCAGAGCACTCCTGGCATACTGCCTCGTTCATTACCGTGGAGATGATAAAATCAAAAGCTTCATGTGGGATCTGATCGCTCCCACAGAGGACGGCAGGACCAAGGAACTTCAGAACCATTTGGGTATGAGGACTGAAGCGTTGTTAGAAATTCAGTTACCTTTTGCATTTTGATCCAGTCAGGATTGTTTGTTTATGAACCGTGTGACATTTAGATTTTTTCATGTGACTTGCGCAGGTTTGTCGACTCCAGTACCACGAGGCCGTAAAGGAAAGAAGATGAAGATTCAGTCTAGCTCATTTGATATCCAGAAGGCAGAGTGGATCCGAAAACACAACCCAGAACACATGTTGTCTGATGATGGGTACAAGAAACACCTGAAACACCACTGCAACAAGTGAGTATTGCATTGCAAGCATAATATACGCTACTGTTTGATACACCAAAAATTTGGGGTCGATAAAATAGTGTTTTTGAAAGAAGCCTGTTATGTCTACCAGTGTTGCATTTATTTGATCAAAAATACAATAAAAACGGTAATATTGTAAAAGATTATTACAATTTAAAGTGACTAAAGTTTTCCATTTTAATATTTTTTTTTATAAGAAATTAACTTTCTAACTATTGTCTGTGTTGAAAATAGTTTAGCAGCAAGAACACTTATTCCTGGTCTTATTTTTACCATCAGTGCATCCCATTTATGATCTGATTATTTTTTTAAATATGACCTGTTGTGCAACTCACCAATAACGTTAGGCCATGAAGCAGCAGTAACACCCACTTTCAACCACACAGCCACTCGGCTACGTGTGAACACCTCATTAGATGGATATCTGCCAATCTGGAGGAAGTGTGTGAATGTGATGCAATGATACAAGGGAATCTCCCATTTTAGCCCTGTGATCTTATTCTGGTAAAGCCCACTCTCACACACTTGTTTAGGGGTTTTTCTCTTAGGGAGTGGAAGATGAGGTGCTTTCAGGTCACGCTCTTCAGTTCTTGACACTTTAGTTGCCAAACTCACTATCAAATCTGTCTGGCTGTCCCCACTCTTTGTCTGCAAATGCTTAACAATTCTTGCATTAGAAAGCAGCCAAAGTGTTGTACATCATGTCACGCTATAAATCAGGCTATGTGATTGTGCTTTGATAAATGAACTCTTCTGGACCAGGATGTGTGTGTGGAGAGAGTTTATTACTGTAAGGTTGGCTGTGCATTCAGGGCTCTCTGCCATTGGAGAAAGTTCCCTATTGCTGTCCTGTTTAACACGCACACACACACAAATATATATATTTATATATGTGTGTGTGTGCAAATGTTCAAAAAATCTTACCGATACAGGATTGTTTTTGAACACTAATGATTTTGAACAGTTACATTAGCAACATATACTGTCATGCATGTCCTCTGAAGCAACTTTCATTAAGAAATGAAAGGGCTGGAAAAGGCTGTATGTGTTAGCACTCATTAACACCAGCCTTATGGCAGTGCATTTTACATCAGATCGTACACATAAGCCAGTTTACAGTAGTGTTCAATAGTTTTGGGGATGGTAAGATTTTTTTATGTTTTTGAAAGAGGTCTTATGCTAACCAAGGCTACATTTATTTGATCAAAAATACATAAAAGTAATGTTGTGAAATATTATTACAATTTAAAATACGTGTTATATTTCAAAATATTTTAAAATGTAATGGCAAAGCTGGATTTTCACCATCATTACTTCAGTGTCACATGATTCTTCAGAAATCATTCTAATAAGCTAATTTGGTCCTCAAGAATATTTATTGTCAGTGTTATTAATAGTTACAATTTACATTGCATACTTTATTGCATACTTTGACCTCAATCTCTCTGTGTCTCTGTCTGGCAGGGTGCTGCTGAGGGTCAGAATGCTGTACTATCTGAAACAAGAGGTGATCGGAGTACATTGCCAAAAAGTACTGGATGGGGCAGATGTCAGGTAAGAATTGTCATGAACCCTCTCATCTTATTACTTTCACTAGTCTGGGAAACCAAAACATCTGAGCGGAGCGTGTTCTGCATGTGTAATACCAATAGTGGTAGAAATAACAGTACCAGTAATTTCTGTTAATAAGTGTTCTTAGTATTTTAAATGGTTTTTTTACATGCTTGTAATTTGTATTTAATTTTAAGCCATATAAAACTGATCAAAACCTTAAAATATACAAGGTTTCACAAGACATTCTCTTGTGTATCATAGATCTCTTTAGATTTAAGGATTATAAATAGATCCTCATTGAACTCCAGTGTTAGTCAGTTTGTTCAGTAAGAGGAACATTAAAGCGCCATCTGCTGTTCTGCTGAGGAAACTTCAGGAATGTACTCATGTAATATCAATATCTGCATTTAAAGGAATAGTTCACCAAAAAAATGTCAGCAAATGACAATATCAGACTTAAATTGTGGTCTGTTCCGAAATCCAAAATTTGGATTCCAAAAACTAAAATGTATAGCAGGTTACTGCTAGTAATGGCTGAAATGTTTGTTTTGCTGTCTCTCAGTGAGATAGAGATCTGGGTTCCTGAGCCGGATCATTCAGAGATGCCTGCTCTGTGGTGGGACATGCTCTCGGACAAATGTCTGCTGTTAGGAGTCTTTAAGCACGGTCAGTCCGATCAGCTCTGTTGCGCTCAAGGCTTTATGTGTGCGTACACACTTTTATCTAATGGCTGTTTTTATGTGTTGTAGGTTATGAGAAGTACAACACTATTCGTGCAGATCCAGCACTGTGTTTCATAGACAGGGTTGGGCGGCCGGACGAGAAGGCCATCGCTGCTGAGCAGAGAGGAAATGACTTTATGGATGGGTAAGAGACACAAACATGTGCTCCATTCATACAGATAGAGGAAGTCTTTTATCAGTTTCTGCCTGCAGTAACTCTCTTAAGTATTTGTAACTGTGTTTGTTTGTGTGTGTGTGTTATCTGTTTGTGCAGAGATGTGGATGACCCTGAGTATAAGCCTGCTCCAGCTTTGCTGAAGGATGATATGGAGGTATGCAACTGGAAGAGAGAGAACTGGGCCTGATAAGACTGTTACACACACAAGTGCATACAGAAGCTCAAAGAATGTCAGTTAGTGTGACTTCAGGGATGGGCGGATTTTAGAATTGGTTGTCTTTTCAATTCATGAGTTAGAATTTGAATTGAATAGGCCACAGGCAGCACACAAGAGTAATGTAGTTTCAATTCAGTAAACACAGTCACAAAGCAGGTATTTATTAGTCCAACATCATGTTTTGTAACTAAATAGCTGCCTATTTGTAGAATACTATAACTTTTTATTTATAAATCTGCATATAATATTCATGGAATATACACACACACACACACACATATATATATATATATATATACAGTGGGTATAGAAAAGAA